AGAGGGGCCTATGCTTTGCTGTACATTGGTGAATTTGAGGGTATGGCTGAAGGAAGTCAGCCAGGAAAGCATGTTGGGACTCGGAATCTCCTGGACCTAGAGTGTGGGGAGCTAAGGGCCTTGTCAAAATGAGAGTCTCTCTCTGCTTGGAGACCATCAGAGAAGAAGCCAGCTAGCATCCAGAACATGCAACTTTTTCCTCACACTTTATATGTTTGGAAGAAGAAAGCCTAACTGGAAACATGTCTACATATTACCTCTCAGCAAATGCTACCACAGAAAGAAGTGATGGGGGGAAAACAAATCATGACAAGGAAATCTGGACACAAAGTAATAGAGCCTGAAACAGAATTCATTTTTCCCCCATAGGTATTTGGTAAAGGCTGAGTACTTACAGATTAGTTTTTAAAGGAAAACCAATTTCATAGGATTTCATAGGATCATGTCATATTGAAGCTGAAGACTTTAAAGATGTATTCATTTATTTTCTGCTTCCCTGCTTCAACAGTGGGTATTTGAGATATGATAAATGGCCTTTATAGACCAATCTATAGATTAGTGACTTTTCTCTTTGACCTCCTTCATGGTACGTTTCTCTGCAACATCCTTTGCACTCTAATCAGTTTTACTAAATTCCAAAGAAATTCTCACTGATCAGTAAAGCTTCTTCTTAGAAGTGGACTAAAGCTGATTAATTTCAACTTCTATTGGATACTATAGAAGAGGCTCTTTACAGAAGGAGACAAAGCGTGAATCCAGTTTTCTTTTGCATTCATTTCTGATTGTTCCAGGGGTTCAGATGAGGCCTCAACGACCAGCTGTAACACAAGTACTTTGTCTGGGAAGCTTGAAGAACTGGGAAGTGCCTGAGCGCCTTCTACTCTGAGTTCAAGTACAGTATTCTGGGCCTGGCAGCTTAGAAGCAGCAGGTGCATGCTGAGGAATAGCTGGCCACAATAGTGGAACATTTCAGGGGCACTTAGCCTGTCCAAGAGAACCTATTTTTGTTTCATAGTCATGCCCTGGTGGTAGAGTTCAGACTTATTTTGGGTTTTCTGATGACCATACTATCAAGAGGATATCAGTTCATGAAGCCAAGAAGCCACCATCTGTGCTGTGTTTATATCTCAAGAATTATTTAGAAGGTTGATTATTCAGTTAGCTGGGCCTCTTGACCTTCTAGTGTTACACTAAGAAAGGTGACTCACATTTTCTTGAAAGTCACTTCACTTTTGATAACCCATGAAATTCCCTCAATATACAGTAGGGGTGAAAGAGTTGATCAAATTGCACCGATAAGTACTGACCCCAAAATGCTCTCCATGTGGCAGGGGCACCATGAATGATCATTTATAGTGAACAGAAAATATCTCTCAACACTGATATGCTAGGAAATAATTAACAGCTGGCTCTCCAGGTAGATAAATACCTGATTTGTAGCATTCACTGAATTCCATAGCGGAATAGTAAGAACAGCTTTGTAAGTTCAAAAATTTAGATGAGATGAAAAAAATTCCACAAAAAAGCAAAATGACTAAACCTAACTCTAGAAAAAGCAGAAAACCCGAAAACTTTGTATCTATTAAGAAAATTGAATTCACAATGAACTCTCAGGAGAAAACTTACAAGTCCAGATACATAACAAATAAGGAGGAAATAATACCAATCTTGCACAGAGTCCCATGAAAATAGAGGAGGGAGCTTTTCCTGGTTTATTTTTTGAGGCCACCATTGTCCTGTCACCAAAATTAGAAGAAGGCATGAGAAAATAACTATAGATTGATATACTGTATGAATAAAGACAGGAGAAAAATTCTTAGCAAAATATTGGCAAGTCAAATCCAGCAGTATATAAAAATTATAATCCATAGTGACCAAGTATTAAAGGCTGGCTTCACATTTAAAATCTATATAATTCATTGTATTAACAGAATAAAGGAGGAGAACTATCTGGTCACTTGAGGATCTACGGCAAGGTCATCTGAAAAAAAAATTAGTACTTGTCCATTACATACCTAACTGAAAGATAGGAGAGATTTTCCTCAACATGATAAAAGACATCTGAGAAAAAGCTGCAGCTTATATCAAATTTAAATGTTGAAAGGCTGGACACTTTCCTAAGGTGGGAAAGAAAATGAGAGTACTCACAGTTCATCACTTCTAGTCATCATTGTGCTGAAGTTTGTAGGTAGGACAGTTAAGAAAAGAAAAAGTACACAGCATACACATTATAAAGGAAGAAGAAAAGCTTGTCTTTATTTGCAGATCACATACATAGAAAAATCTAGAATAATTTATGAAAACTACTTGGGATGCCTGGGTGGCTCAGCAGTTGAACTTCTGCCTTTGGCTCAGGGCATGATCCCAGCTTCTCCCTCTGCCTGTGTCTCTGCGTCTCTGTGTGTTTCTCATGAATAAATAAATAAAATCTTAAAAAAAAAAAAAGGAAGAAAGAAAGAACTACTCAAACGACACAAATTTGGCTGAGATAGGAGATGCAGCGTCAATATACAAGTCATTTGTATTTTTATACATAAGCAGCAAAGAATGTAAAAACAAATCCAGTATTATCTACAATAACATGAAAAAAAAACACGAGATGTTTAGTGATAAATTTTTAAAAATATGTGTGAGATCCATACACTCAAAACTACAAACTGGCAAACCAGAGACCTATACGAATGGAGACATCAATGATGTCCCTGGGTCAGAAGACTCAATTTGTGAAGATGCCATTTCTCCCCAGATTGAATATATTGATTCAGTATAGTCATAATCGGAATTCTAGGTGGATATTTTTGTAGAAATGAGCAAGCTGAGATTCTAAAATTTAAATGGAAATGTTTCTTAAAATATCCAAAACAATTTGGAAAAAAAGAGAGGAAGCATATGGTAAGCAGAATTGTAAGATGGCTCCATGATTGCATCTCCTTTGATGCAGGCCTGTATAATCCCCTCCCCTTGAGTGTAGGAGGGGACCTGTGAATGTGATGGGACATCACCCCAGCTTAGATTACACTACATGGCAAAGGTGAAGGGATTTCCACCAATGGCTCCATCCAGGATTAAAGTAGCTTCGTGCTTGTGTGTAGACTCCCAGACTAAATGTAAAACTTATTCTCACCTTTCAGAAACAGATATGTCTTAACCACCTTGTAGGTTAGGGTGTGTATACACATTGATTGTACAGTCAGTCCTCCAGTCAGACCCAGAAAGGAGACCCACACAGGCACTGAGGCATACTTGTGTCTTTGGGGGGAGGAAGTTGCAGGATCACAGTTTCCCAGGATGTGGTCTGAAAAAGGAGGTGGAGGCTCTGGTAAACCAGCCACTGGGCTCTGTGACTGCCCCCTCAGTGGGGGAAGAGGCTCAAGGTGTCTGGAGTAGGGCCTTCCAGAGCCGACATCTCAGACTTTAATGTGGATATGAATGACCCCAAGATCTTATTAAAAATGCATATTCAGAGCATACCAGAATAGGACGTGGCATTCCACAAATCTAATAAGCTCTCAGGTGACATGGAGGCTACTGATCCATGGGACTACATTTTGAGTCGCAATGCTATAAAGTTTGGTGCCGAAGTCTGAGGCCAGGTAACAGTGATTTTCAGTATACTTGAAGTCTGTAGTGGAGTGAATAAACCAAAGTTGTGAATAATTCATTGTATTTGGAAAGATCCTAATTATAGTTAACATTAAGCTAATAATATTTTTTCCCATCTTGTACATTTATCAACTGAGTGAAAATAGTTGACCCCAAAGCAAGATAAATAACTGGAGACTCCAATCCGGTATTGAAACTATGTGTGTAATCTCTGGTTGCCTGTTGTAATTATCTTTCAATATGTTTTATGAAATGAGAAATGTTCATAACATCTTAGGTTTTAAGGGTGAACTCTTTTTTTCAGGCTACGATTACCCATGTCATAACTGACATACTTGGAAAAGAATTTTGGAACCCTTCTGATTACTAGCTTGCGTTGGAAGTTTTATGAAAAGTGGCATTAAAATATTTACTACTTTTATTAATAAAATGTGGGGGTATGGACGACTTACAAGAAATGAGATAAAAATTGTTTCTGCTTAATATTTATCTGCATTTTATCACTGTAGCATTTATTATGAGACATAACTCTGCAGAGACTTTGATCCTTCCCTCTGGGATAGCTCCCTTCTCCACACCACATTTATTGACTATGTAGTATTTGCCTTTTCTTTCAAATTCTATGCTGAAGGTTAAGACCTTGGACCATTCATTTCTTTATTTTATCTGAACTTCTGTCACCATTAGTTTGAACAAAGATAAGAGAATAAATCGAGTACTGTACTCTCTTTGGATGGTTTATGTTGCTGATGGGTCAGGATAAACCTCAGGAACCCAGATAAACATGTAAGTTATTCAAGAGAATTAGGATTCTTCCTTTGTGTTCCATATACTCTGCTTTGAGTACAGCCAAAGCCCCTGCTTAGCCTATATAAACTAATACATTTGCAGGAAATGTGACTTTGGGACATTTTATATAGCAGTGATTTTAATGCTGTTAGTGGTGAAATGGAAACTTGAGAATGTGAAGATTAATTTAAACCACATGATGGGTTCAAGGAAAATCCACTACAGTTTCTTGAATGTGTGCTGACTCTGTACAGTGGGGAATGGGATCCAAAAAACCACCAGTGAACTTTTAAACCCTCTTGAGAGGATTCAGACCAACACAATTAGCCCTAGAAGGGAGCTGTTCCAGATGACAGGCAGATTATTTATCTCTCCCTCGAAAACAGATCCCTTTGCCTGAGAGAACACAGTAGGCACACCAAGGAAGGATGAAGGACCCCACATGTTACCACTAATGGAGTGAAGTTAGAAATCCCTTTCCAGTCATTAGCTGACTTACTAATTCATCTTTCACTATAGAGTACAGTCTGTTGAGTTCTTTGAACAATGGATAACCAAACAAATTGTATATTGTAAATTTGAAATAAAGGATTTCTTTTCCCTTCCAGTTCGTTGTAGCGGTGTTCTGGATCATTTATGCCTATGACAGAGAGATGATTTATCCGAAGTTGCTTGATAATTTTATCCCAGGGTGGCTGAATCACGGAATGGTGAGTGGACTAAAACAAATAATTTCCTTTCATTAAATTTAGGCTTTTCATAGAATGTACCTAACTGGCTGTGCAATGATAGGGATGAAAGATTGTAATTAGAAAAGAATACTGCATGTAAATAAAAAGCATCTTCCCTTGAAACTGGTCACTATTAAAACTATGTAGTAGATGAATCCACAGTTTATAAGATGTCGGTGTTGTTGGATAATACAACTAGCTCATTCCATGGATGAATTTAATTTCTGTGCCATTCAAAAACTTGTCCCTTATTAGAACCTAAGGACCTAGTCACACCTATACAATTCTCGAGGCCCTGTGGTTCCTCCACTTCACGTCAGGGGATTGTATTGGAAGTAACTATTGCACTGGGCGAATTTCCTCCGCAGGAGCAATGAGACTATTATTTTCTCTGGGAGATCTGCTGTAGGCATTGGAAGTGTCCTTGGCAGGCTGTGCCCATGGAGGGCATTTGCCTATGGTGGCTAGCTCTTTCCCTTCTTCTCCTTCTGATTCCTTCCAGTGCTTTAGCCATGGTGTTGCCTTCACATGTTTCAAATCAATTATTTTGAATGGTTTGCATGTCACCTTGCAAGACTTGAGGATACATCCTCTGCAGAGAAATTTTATGTTGCCTTCCCTTTCTGCTTCTGGAATTGAGCAGTTTTGTCATTAACTAAGAAGCCTGCATTTTTTGGTTACAGCAGTTTTTAGACTATGTCACTGGGTGCTCCTAGTGAAAAGGGCAACCCATCACAGAAATTATAGGGGAACGAAGAGCTAGAATCGCACGTCATAGGTCCAAAATAACAGTTTCCTTTCTGCCCCCAATTCTGGTATATTTTGAGAGAAGTGGTGTGTGCTAACAAACAAACATTACTGTACTCAGGGGCTTGATTAATTCTTTCCTAAGCCAATTCATCAAAAGTGGCATATCTCAGAGAACTAGCATTTTCTTTGAGTCCAATTAGAACCACACTGTTGAAAGATTAACGTGGCACCTCTCTTCTGGTTCCAAACACATAAGCTGGGTCTTGTCAGATTCATTTTACCATCTAAGGGACTTGATATGGTTACTCTGTGCCTCTCCAACTTTTGACTTTTCTTGACTGTGACCTTTTCATAACCCTGGCTCTTCATGCCTTCATGCCCCTGTCCCACATGCCTTCTATTCTTTACTGGAGAACCCTTGTTAGCTTGTAGAATATCTCTTAGAAGTCTCTTTTTACACTCTCAGGCCAGGTTAGCTCCCTGTCAGCTAGGCTTCCAAAGCACCTTCACAATCTCCAACTGACACATCTGTATCCCCCACACAAGTGTTACCTTCCTAGTGCAAACAGCACTCCACCCACCCACCTGATGTGTAGTAGGATCAATACATATTTGTTAGATTGATGAGTGAATTCAGTATACAGTCATTTCCCTCACCTTATCTGAGAGGGATCCATTCCAAAATCCCCAGTGGATGCCTAAAACCGAGGACAGCACCATACTATGTTTTTTTCCTATAAGTACATATCTACAATAAGGTTTAGCACAGTGAGAAATTAACAACATGAAGAGGGACTTGAATGCCCTTGAATGCAACCGGTGGTTGCATAATGTGCTGTTGAGGACAGGCCTTAACTGTTTGGCATGTCATCTATATACCTCAGATGCACAATATTACCTTTAGGTCAGAGAATAAATCACAACCTTTGTAGATGCAGGTGCTACTTAATGTTTCCAAAGAATGGTTTCTAAGTACTGATGAGGCCATTAGAATTATACCTTGACTCTCAGAATTTCCCCTTGATTCACTTTGATGGATTAAAATTCTCACTCTTGGAGACAAACACTACTTAAAAATTTAAGGGGAATTTGAGTGATACAGATATATCAGAAAGGGAAAAGATAAATGAATTGACATGTCAAATCCTCTAAGATAATAACTCAGTGGATTCTTTCCTAATGAATTTTGTTCATTAGTAGAGATGAATGACCTTTCTTTGGTTTTCTTCATGTTCCAGTACATGGTTCCAGAATTACTAACAAAGAAGTTGCATATGGTTGCTGAGGAATATTTTCCGGTATTAATTTACGTTACTCTAAATTTGTATATATGTAACTTTAAATCGGATGCTGATTCTTTAGTTTGGCTATTAAAATATGAATATTAACTGCTATAACCATGAATAATTTAATTTTTATAAAAATGTATAAAAATATTTGTGAAATACTAATAAATCAAACATTTTCACTTTATTAAAAAGCTTAATTATAATTTGTATTTTAATTTTAATAATTTTAAATATTTAATTTTAAAAATATGAAAATAATTCTGCTAAAAATCTTTACATTCATTTGAATGTTCGTATTTTGATGAAAACATTCAAATTATGTACACTTTGATTATAATTATATTTTTATCTTTTTATTTCATTTTTTTAAAGATTTTGTTTATTGGACAGAGGGAGAGAGAGCATAAGCAGGGGTAGTGGCAGGCAGAGGGAGAGGGATAAGTAGGTTCTTTGCTGAACAGAGAGCCTGACACAGGGCTGGATCCCAGGACCCCAAGATCATGACCTGAGCCAAAGACAGATGCTTAATTGACTGAGCAGCCCAGATACCTCCATTTTATTATTAATTAATACCTTACATTGATATTATAAATAGAGCTTAAATTTTGTGAAAATTTCCATTATAACAATATATTCAGTGAATTTGCTGAAATGAAGGCAAGAAAATAAATTTTTGGAATATTTATATTATATTAAACAATGTATTTTTATAATTTATAACTTACACATTTGTAATTGATAAATCTGTGTGTCTTTACTTTGCTACTCACCCATCCAGTCATATTTTTTTAATTTTGTTTGATGAAATATATATTTAATAATATAGGAAGACAGAACATATTTAATATTTTACAAGCTTAATTTGTAAATTTTAAATATTTCTGTGGGTAGTTTATGGCCTCTTAGGCCTTTTACTATTGCCCGTCTAGATCTTTCTAAGTACAGGAATTCTGCAAGAGAATATACCTTATTCTTATGTGTAGAATCACATTTCGTGTTTGAAGAGTCTCAATATAATCTCTTGGGATCTAGAGCCCTGAACTACCAAACTAAGATGCAGTTTATCAGTCTGTCATGGCACCACTTAAGAAGACATCACCAAGTCAGTCTTGAATTTACAGCACTCAACTGCCCAGCACAAAATTAGTACAAGAAACCAGGCATGAAATAAAACAGACAGGATTTGAAATTCCCAGGACTTTCCTTTCGATTTATTCTAAAGTACCCATAAGTTAGACAGGATTGTAACTAAAGGGAAGTATCCTATCTCTTCCTTTCTATTGTATACCTCTTTTCTCCCAGCAAGTAGTCTTAGAATTTTTTTGGAGAAGAGAAGAGGAAATGGGTAAATAGATGAGTTACAACAGTAATACAACCTCGCTCTATAACTGCTATCTTATCTCCAGGCTATATTTACATAGCAGTTACATACACACAAAATTTTAATTTATTATAAATAAAAATATCAGCCTATAAAATATAAAACATTTAACTGGAATCACTTCAGTCTCCAAAAATCAAGAACTATTCTATCCCTGCAGCCCTATTTATTTTTGTATTTCCAGCAGTTTGAACAGCACATGATGCCCATTAGGCATTTATTAAGCATTGGTGATTAAGAGCATATTTATGTGTTTGTTTCTGAAAGTTGGAAGAATGTTGGGGCACCTGAGTGGCTCAGTCGGTTAAGTGTTGGATTCTTGATTTCAGCTCAGGTTCTGATCTCAGGGTGGTGAGATGGAGCCCTGTGTGCTTAAGATTCTCTTTCTCCCTCTCCCACCTCCCTACTTGTGTGCGCTCTCTCTCTAAAAACAAACAAACAAAACTTGGAAGAATATCATGTTTACATTTATATCTTTCTCTATATCTAGAGATATCAGCAAAATGAGTCCGTTTTCAAAATGTCACAAGAATGGTCATGGACAGTCGTGGTTGGGGTCTGCATGGCTGCAACCGTGAGGGCTAAGGTTTGAATTAATTTAATCTAGCAAACATTTGTTGAAAACCTATGAAATGCAAAATACCCTGCTAGGATGAGAAAAATACTCACACTTCTAAAGGGTAGAAATGTCATGTTTGAGGTAAAAGAAAGTGAATAGGAAAACAAATCCACAAAGCAACAGAGTAGTCTCTGGTAGGCTGTGTTCACTCTGATAAGAAGAAGCACTGTTGTTACTCTGGCCTGTTTCTTGGCTGCAAAAATAGATCACTGAACCTTTCTCTTCTGCTGATTATAAGTTTAAAACATTGTCAATGGAATAAATATACATTAAAATCAATAAATAAAGAAATATCTAAACTCCATTAAGATTGCAGATTCTCAGCAATGCTGTAACAGGAAAAACCAACAATGAGACAGTGTCTCTGCTTAGTGAAGACCTAATTAATGTTTATAAAATGCTTTGAGAATGCCAAGCACTGCAGAAGTTTGGATATTATTATTACTATCATCATCACAGATCTTTAAGCATACATGACCTAGATATTCTTATAATCACAGCAGTTGTTCATTCCCCATATAATTTATAAGGAGATAAAAAAAATAAACCCCACCTCTCTTCGTGCTTGATTTGACAGTTGTTCTTGTTGTATGTAACTGATCCTCAAGAGAACTTTAATTTAGGCGACTATTTATTCTGTTCAATATTATTTTGACATTTGGTAATTACTAAAGTTTTTGTACATTTATCTTTCCCAAAAGAGAAGGTATTAAATACTCTTTGGATGATCACTGGTTTTGCAGGAACTCAGATTTGACGTTATTCTTTTGTTAAATAACACAACTTATGGGAAGTTTCCAGTTCTGGGCCACAGAGATTATGCATTTCATGACCTACGGAGTCTGTGCCACCCTGATAGTGGATATTTCACAAAATAAGCTGTTGGACAAGAGAAGACGATCTTCTTTTTCATATGAAAAAACTGACCTTTCTCATTTTC